TCCTTGCATTTGACAAGGTGCCTTATCACATCGTTGAAGACGTCTCAATTCGCTTCGCAGAATGTACTGTAAAGTGGAGTGACTGTGTATTTTGCGGGCAAAATGCAGCAGCCTGTTTGCGCAGGGCAGTGTCCTACAAACAGCCACGGAGTGAGCAACCTGGGGGGATTGTTGGCCAGGACAGCAGGAGAGAGAGAAACCCCTGTCTCTTTTCGAACAGTGCTGCGGGATCTTTAAAGTCCACCTGAAGGACGGCACCTCCGACAATGCAACAACACCCCACCCCACCCCACTCCCCCCACCCCATCCCTCCCACCAGTGCTGCACTGGAGTGTCGTCTTAGCCGATGTGATTCCAAGACCCGAAGTGGGGGCTTGAACCCACAACCTTCTAACTTCGACGTGCGCCCAGCTGACACTGGGTGGGTGTGGGGGTGGGGTGGGGGAGGGGTGGGGGGGAGAGAGAAGTACGGGGGAGATCTGGTCAGTTACCCCAACGCACATTCTGGGATCTGACCAGCCTAATACTCTCTGGAATAAGGTTAGCAGGAGGCATCCTCCACGGCACGGGAAGATTTTCTGTGTAGGTGCTGTACATCTGTGGAATTCTCAGTCGGGCTTGAGCGCTCTTAAGCACGGTGATAGATTTCCGCGTTAGTCAGACGACCGGGTGACTTAAAAAAAAAGTAAAGTCCAGATTTTGTGTAATAATAATCATAATAATCCTTGCATTCGATATAGCGCATTGTCACGTCTTCGAGACGTCTCAAAGCGCTTCACAGGATATACTGTAAAGCGGATCGACTGTACTTTGTAGATAAATTGCGCACAGCAGCGTCCCACAAACAGTCCCGGTTTGAGCGATCAAATTATTGAAATGTAAAAAAAAATTATAATAATTTTTTTTGTGGGGTTAATTAGCGATCCACCAAGTGACTTAACAACCGGGTTCCTACTTACCGCTGGGAAACAGAGGAGTGTGAGATATGGAAACTTGCCTAAGGTTTCGCGCCTCCCGGGAATCGACCCGGCTCCTCTTGCTTGCGAGGCGAGCCCTCTAACCACTACACTACAGGATCTCCATATAAAACAGCCCTGATCCCTGGTCTCTGTGGAGACACATCTGTTTTTCCAGTTGACATAGGCTTTTTGAGATAAGAGTAACAGGTTGGATTAGCCCACACATAGCTGGACCCACTGTTAACAGTACTTTGTGTGTGTGTGTGGCGTTGTGGAGGAAGAGGGATATGAATGGGTGGGATAAGGTTATAGCTTGTAGTCGGAACGGTTACAGGCTGAGGTCGGGAAGCGTTTCCTCACACACAGAGGGTTGTGGGGACGTGGGCCATGGAAAGCTCTGTTCGACAAAGCTGTAGAGATTGGAGTCTATAGGGATGTTTAAGAGAGAAAGAGACGGACAGAGACCTGGGTAGTAGAGGCAGTAAGGGATAGGGGAAAAAAGGCCGGTCATTGGGATAATAAACTGGTGGAACAGACTCAACAGGCTGAATGGCCTCCTCCAGTTCCTGTGTTCGCACCCAGGATATGAACCCGGGTCCTCTCTCTCTCTGTCTTACGAGGTGAGCACCCTAACCAATACGCTGCGGGACAACAGCAAACGCAAGGACCATTATAATGACATAACATAGCAACCAAAAATATAACATCACCGGAAAGCGAGAGAGAGAGAGGAGGTGAGTGTGTGTTTGCGTGTGTGCATGTGCGTGTGTGTGCGGGAGAAATGATGACCAGATTTCAAATATGAAATAAGCTAAAAACTCAATGCTTTCTTTGAAAATAAACCTCTGAAAATAAAAAAAACATAACACGCGCAACTGGATTTGAGATTCAAAACAAGTGGGGGGGTGGGGCGGGGGGAGCGGGGAGCGGGGAAGGGGGTGTTCAGTGATGTGACACTGTCCTGCGTGAGGGACGCTACATAAACCCAAGTTGTTGTTGATGTGGATTCAGCGGTTCGTTCGCCCACAAATATACAGTCAATTCACTTTACAGTGTGTTCTGTGAAGCGCTTTGGGACGTCCTCCCGACGTGAAAAGCGCTATATCAAATGCAAGGATTATTATTATTATTATTATTAAATATTCTTTTGCTCGGCCGGGGTGTTTGACACACGAGGAAACCCATCACCATGATTAAGAGTCTCCAAACCGAACTGAGAATTCCCTGCATCCCACCCACACACGGAAATCCCAGAGATAGGTTGTCCGAATGGAATGCGCACTCTCTCTCTCTCTCTCTCTCCCCCAGAGGGACCTATTCCCGCTTACTTAATTCCAGAGAGTATTAGGCACAGGTTGCCAAGAGCCGAGGCTTGGGAACCCCAGAGTGTGTTTTGGAGATGCCTGCTGGAGCCTCACCAGCTAAAACCACATCGCTTAAATTAATCTGCGCACTTAATGTAATATTTATGTGTGCTTAAACCAGAAGTGCTTCGCTGTTGCTTCTTTGCTTCCTTCTTCTATTTATTTGCGTTATATAATTCCCCGCAGGATCTAATTTCAACACAGGGAGTTAAGGAGTTAAAGCTTTTTTTTCGTGCCTTGTGTGTATGTTACCGGGTGTATCTGTTTGTGAGATCTGTGTGTGTGTATATATATAGATATCTACCACACAAATACACACCTTTTCACCTTAGTAACAATCACATTAAGGGCCCTGGGTTTCCAGGGAACCAGAGCACGGATTTTAGTTACAATAAATTTACCTTCAATTAATCAGCTTTCAGGAAATTACTAGTACAGCCAGTATCCTCCTCTTGTCTCTATGTCTGAATGATTTCCCTCACAAGACTCATTCGGGAAATAATCTATACAGCTTGAACCATACTACTCTAATTTAATCTAATCAACCACGCACACATGTACATACACACACACAACACACGCATACCCATAAAATATACACACGCCCACACACACATAACATGTACTCATAAAATACACACACGCAAAATACACCCCCCCCTATGAAACGCACATATCCCATCATAATACACGTACACACACACGAAAATACGCACATTGTCCAAAAAAAACGCTACCGAAATACACAAATCACCAAAAATACAAACACGCACTTTGAAATGAACAACAACATTCTCCTCAATAACATCATGTACAAAGCTCGAGATCTGTACTGGAGACACATGTCTGTATAAACAATGACACTGAGCCATGTCAGGGGTTTTGATGTGTATTTTGGTGAATTTTATACGTATGCGTACATACAAACACACACATATGCAGCGGCAACTTACGTTTTACTCACATTAAAAGGAGAGAACACTCGATATCCAAATCACAAGTATTGCTCATCCAAACCGTTCGTTCAACGATATAACAGTTTATAATTATATAACGTGATCCTTGCCCTCGATGCAGCACTTTATCATGTTGCCGAGACGTCTCAAAGGGCTTCGCTGGATATACTGTGAATTGGATCGACTGCGTATCAAATACGACAACAACAACTTGCATTTATATACCGCCCTTCGCGTAGGGTAGCGTCCCGGAGAGCTTGACAGTGGTGGTGGGTGGGGGGGGTCTGACAACGAGCCAGTGGGAGAGAAAGAGAGAGAGGGGCGGTGACCGTAGGCACGATGAAAAAGGAAGGTTTTTATGCTGGATTTGAAAGTGAGGGAGGAAGGGGGTAAGGAGGAGGGATTGAGGGAGAGAATACCAGAGTTTCAGAATGCTACCTCCCTCCCTCCCAACACACGCACACGCAAACACAACAATTATCAAAACCGTCGGTATTTAACAGGCGAGATTTGCGTTAAATTGTGCATAACCCTCAATGCGTTCAGGTGGTCGGAGAGAGTACGACAACTCCTTATTAATGTCACAACTTGAGAAGGAGCGGGGGAAGGCGAGGGGGTGGGAAAGAAAGAGAGATGGAGAGCTCGATAAAGTGTGGGGACCTCTCCTTTTGAAAATAATCAACTGAAAATGACGCACCCATTAAATGACCCATTTTCGTTTCATTTTCGCTCAGACATCACACCGTCTGATTTTTTTTTTGGAGTTGGAATTGAATGCAGAGAGGGGAGTGGAGGGAGTGACTAGGCGCTGGGGGCTGCATTATGTTATTTTCAACTATTTTGACTATGAATTCAGTGAAAAAAATGAGGTGGGATGGTTTGATAAAATTAGCCTCAACATGCCACGCTGTCCATCACTTAAATGGAACAAAATTGTACCATTTAATATGTGTATCATTTGACAAATGCTGTCTCATTTCCTCCACCCTTCCCCAACACCCCATTCACTCACTCACTCACTCACTCACTCACACTCAGACACACACATACACAGACACACACTCAGACACAAACACTCACACACAGACACACACACACACTCATACACAGATACACGCACACACAGCCACAAACACACAGACACAAACACACTCACGCACAGACGCAAAGACACACAGACACACACACACTCAGACACACACACACGCACACACAGACACACTCACATAGACACACTCACACACAGCCACAAACACACAGGCACAGATACACACACACTCAGACACAGACGCAAACACACGCAGACACACTCACACACAGACACAAGCACAGGCACACTCAGACACAGACGCACTCACACACAGTCACACACACACATATATACACACACACACACGCACACTCAGACACTCTCACACAGACAGGCACAGACACGCATACAGACACACACACACACGCTCTCATTGCTTTATAACAATAACAAAATCCTTGCGGTTGATATCAATCCTTATCGCGTCATGGAGACGTCATAAAGCGCTTCACAGGATATACTGTAAAGTGGACTGAACGTGCCAATTGCACGCAGCAGTGTGCCACAAACAGTGGCGGATTGAGCGACCAAATAATTTTTTTTTGTCTTCCTTTCTTCCCGTCCCTTGAAAGAGCCGTGTGTCATGGTTTACCCCCCACTCCCCCGCCCCTCACCACAGAAGCGCCTGTACCTGATGGGGAATCGCTGGCCGTGGTGCTGATGATCTGTATGGGAGAGATCTGGTGCTTAGCGGATTGATCAGCATATGTCACACTCAAACTCAACTTGCACTCTCTATTAGATACACACAGTCAAATGTTTGCTCCCTCCCTCCCCTCACACAGGCTACACGCCAACCCTTCAGTGCATACATAGGTACATATATAGTCTCTCTCTCTCTATATATATATTTTCCCTCTGTTTACCGAGCAGTAAGTACGAACCCGGTTCTCAGTGGATTGGCGGGTCGCTTTTCCGGGGCTCATAACCCTTTCAAAAAGAATAATAATAATGATTTGGTCACTTAATCCACGGCTGTTTGTGGGGACGCTGCTGCGCGCAATTGGCTGCCGCGTTTCGCCCGCAAAATATACAGTCAATTCACTTTACAGTATATTCTGTGAAGAGCTTTGAGACGTCCTGAAGACCTGATAAGGTGCTATAACATATTGCAAGGATTATTATTATTATTATGTATTTATATATACGAACACTAAAAACAATTTGCTTTCCCCCAGATTGATATTACAACTAACGACTAATAATTTAATTTCTAAAGAGAAAGGACTTGGAACATTTGCCAAAAAGCTTGCCCTAGTTTTCTTGTTTCTTTTATTTTAATGTAACATTTCTTTACCTATAGAATATATAATTGTAATGATACAAATATGATCTAAATCGATAAATATAATAATTCATTGTAATGATATAAATATGATATAAATGCTAGCAGCTCTTTCATTTTCTCTCTCTCTCTCTCTTTCTCTCTCCATCCCCCTCTCTCTCTGCCTCTCTCTCTCTCTCTCTCTCCATTATGCAATTTAAGCTTTTCTGATTCTTAATAGATTCCTCTTATTTTTCTTGTGCCTGTTTTTGTGTGTCTGGGGGGGGGGGGGGGGGGTGAAAGAGAGAGAGAAATGAAATTCATTCTCATTTTAAGGTCCCTTGATTGATCTAAAAAGAGCCACAGGTAAATTGGAAATAACACATATGAGAAAATGAACCCCCTCCTCCCCCCCCCCCCCACCTTTCCCAGAAAAAAAAACAAGAGAGAGGGTAGAGATAGAGAGAGAGAGAGAAAAAAAAGCTTACCTATTCAGTTCCTTTCACACAGATCTGTGTATTGATGCACATTGAAGGCACACACACGAATACACATGCAGATTGAAGTGGACTTTCACAGGTTCAAGACTCACCCAAGTGATGGGGTGGTGGGGTGGGGAGGTTTGGGGTTAAATAGCCCCCCCCCAAAAAAAAAAAAAAATTCACTCTGTTTCCATCGACACATCTGGGCAATGCATTTCTCCTCTTCTGTCTCTCCTCTGTGCAGAACTGGGGAATAGAAATGACACCAAAATTTTGCCTGGTTTGCTGGTGGGAAACTGTGCCTGGGAAATGTAGCTGAAAAATGTGTGTGTGTGTGTGTGAGAGAGAGAGATGGAGAGATGGAGAAAGGATGGAGAGAGAGAGATGGAGATGGAGATGGAGAGAGAGAGAGAGAGAGGACAAGAAAATGCTGCCTAGGAGGAGGGTTGCATGCTCACGTAAAAGAAACGTCATATAAAAAAAAATCAGCAGATGAAAGGAATATTTGGGAAGGTTTTTTTTATGTATATATATATATATGACACTGATAGGAAAGCCTTGTGCAAACAAAGAGCTTTGCTGTGCCCACACAGCTCCCTGTTGCTAGTGATGGAGATGGAGTGGTCCAGCTTTGTGGAAAGCTGTGTGTGTGTGTGTGTGTGTGTTGAGGTGGGGGTGGGGTGGGGGTGGGGTGGGGGGGATGGAAAAGAGTTTTATTTCAATACTTAGAAAATGGAGAAGGAAGGGAAAAAAAAAACAACCCACTGATTTTTCCGCTGGCGAAATGCACTTTGTTCCTTTTCATTAAAATGTTAACCGGTTGTTGGCCGATTGGGGGGAAATCGCTTTCCGGGGGCAATAATCTCCTTTTGAAAAGGAACAAAAAACTTGGTCACTCAATCCGCGACTGTTTGCGGGATATTTCTGCGCGCTGCCCGCAGTCGGCTGCCGCGTTTCACCCGCAAAGTACAATTGCGTCCATCCGCTTTAGGGTGTATCCCGTGAAGCTCTTTGAGACGTCTCAATGACGTGATAAGGCGCTATATCAAATGTAAGGATTATTATTATTATTATTATGGGCGGGTGGGGGGAGGAAGGGGGGGAAAGCTGCAATGTCAGAGCTGTGTCCCTTCGAATAAGACGTCAAACCATGGTCTATTAGGCCCCATTTATGCCTGTTCTCAGGGGGACGTTAAGATCCAATGAATCCCCCCCCATCCCACCCCCATAAAATAAATGTGATCACTCACTCCATGGCTATTTGTGGGGACGCTGCTGTGCGCAATTGCCTGCCGCGTTTCGCCCACAAAATACAAAGTCAATCCACTCTACAGTATATTCTGTGAAGCGCTTTGAGACGTCCCGAAGACGTGATGTGTCAAATGCAAGGATTATTATTGTAGCTGTTGTCCTTCATGTAAAGAAATACTTCCTGGTGTCTGTCCTTGACCTTTTGTCCTGCTGACTTGGTGTTTCATAATTGTGTTGTGCTGGGTTTACTTTCTTGATTTCATTTAGCATTTTATGTATCTCTGTAAGGTCCTCACATCTAAAAAAAAATGGTCACCCAATCCACGACTGGTCGTGGGGACGCTGCTGTGCGCCGTTGGCTGCCGCGTTTCGCCCACAAAATACGCAGTCACTACACTTTACAGTATATTCTGTGAAGCGCTTCGAGACGTCTCGATGACGTGATAAGGCGCTGTATCAAATGCAATGATTATTATTATCACATGGAATATTTAGGCTCCCAGTGTGTAGCTGCTCATCCTACCTCGTTCCCTCTCTCCTTCCCTCCCTTCCTCCCTCCCTCCCTCGCTCCCTCGCTCCCTCAGATATCCTTCTCATCTGAACCACAAACTCAGGCGGTGAGGGGACCATCTGGAGCTCACACCAGGCTGTCAGCAACACATTGACACCTGGAACCCTGACAACAGTGAGGAAGCAGATGATGCAATGATAATCCTGTAATAATTACCCTTTCATTTGATTACAGCGCCTTATCACATCGTTAAGATGGTACACAAGGTGGCTCTGTGGCACACATCAGACCCCATACTCATATGCCCATACACCCCATGCTTGGCTGTAGGAGAGCCATAGAGTATTGGTTGGCAAGTTCGCCTCGTAAACAAGAGGACCCGGGCAGGATCGCAAGTTTCCTTACTCTATACGCCTCTGTTGCCTCGCAGTTTGTAGGAACCTGGATGTTAGTCAATTGGCGGATCGCTTTCCTGGGGGTAATAATCCCTCCCCCCCAAAAACATTGGGCAGTCAATCCACGACTGTTTATGGGGGACACTGCTGTGTATAATTGGCTGCTCCGTTTCGTCCAAAAAATACACAGTCAATCCACTTTCCAAAATATTCTGTGAAGCGCTTTGAGACGTCCTCGACGATGTGATAAGGAGCTATTATCAAATGCAAGAGTTATTATTGTAATATTATTATTATTATTAGCAGTCTTGGCTTAAGACGGTAAGCAAGGTGGCTCTGCGACACACTGCGGACCCCATACTCTGATGATTTTGGGCAGAACCAGATTCCCAGGGCGTGTTTGCAACCTGCTTCACTCTCATTGCCAATATGGAATGTGAGCTGCCAGTTGGCCAGTGTGCCGCGCCCATTGATTGCCTTCTCAATCTTAATTTTGGTCCAAAGAAAGAGTGTGGAGGTGGGGCTGGGGGTAGGGGTACTCTGGTGAAGTGGGTGGAAGATTGGGAGGGGGAGATCTAAGTTGTCGTGACCGCCCAAGGTAGTCGGTCATAACGATACTGAGACCAAAATCACACCTCCCCAACCAGTACCAGAAGCACTGACTGACTCTACTCCCGATTGCCAGCCTGGCTCAGTGGTAGCAGCTCTCGCCTCTGAGCCAGGAGTTTGTGGGTTCAAGCTCCCCCCTCCCAACCACCCCCCCCCACCTCCTCGTCGGGGGCTTTGAGCTCACACAGTCCAGGCATCCCTTCCCAAGGTGCTGGGAAATAGACAGTCACTACATTTTGCAGTACTCCAACACTACAACAACAACAATAACAAGATTCCATTTATAGAGCGCCTTTCACGTCAGGAGGACGTCCCAAGGCGCTGCACAGTTGGGTCATGACCCGAGCAGGGGGGAAATGGTCAGGGTGAGGGAGGGAAGGGAGGGAGAGAGGAGGGGGAAATGGTCAGGGTGAGGGGAGGGAAGGGAGGGAGCGAGGAGGAGGAAGAGAGTCGAGAGGGGAGCTGAAGGCACGGTCAAAGAGAAAGGTCTTGAGACCAGCCTTGAAGAAGGAAAGGGAGGAGGCGGCGAAGGCACTGGGGGATAGAGTTCCAGAGCCTGGGGGCTGAGAGGCTGAAGGCCCGACCACCGATGGTAGGGCGGTTGGGGCGGGGGACGTGGAGCAGACCGGAGCCAGAGGAACGGAGGGTACGGGCAGGTAGGTAGGGGGATAGTAGGTTGGAGAGGTAGGAGGGAGCAAGGCCGTGAATGGCCTTGTAGGTGAGGATGAGGATCTTGAAATCACTACCCCATGCACCACCTATTCCTCCTCCCCACACAACACCACACCATAACCCTCCCTGGCCCACCCAGTCCACCATGATGCCTCCCCCCAGGGACTCTTCCCACTCAGCTCCCGCTATGTGTCAGCCTGTGGCTCAGTCGCTCTCTCTCTCTTGATTCTGGGTCAAACTGTTGTGGGTTCGAGCCCAACACACGTCTGGACTCGGAATCACACAGTCTCAGGGGGGTGGGGTGCGGGGGTGGGAAGGACGGGAGGGTTGGGGAGTGCCGCATTGTCAGAGGGACTGTCCTTCGGATGAGACGTTAAACCTCACTCACCGTCCGTGACCTGTTGAGGCGGAGCGAAGGATGCAGCCGAGTTTGTCGGGGTGAAGGAAATCACAGGTAATAACAATAATAATAATAATAATAAGCCTTGCGGTTGATATAACGCCTTATCACATTGTTGGGACATCTTATAGTGTTTCACAGAATATATTGTAAAGTGGATTGACTGTGTGTTTTGTGGGCGAAACTCGGCAGCCAATTGCGCACAGCAGCGTCCCACACACAGTGGTTGATTGAGTGACTACATTTTTTTTTAAGGGATTATTACCCCTGGAAAAGCGATCCGCCAATCGAGTACCAACAACAACAACAACAAGATTCCATTTATAAAGCGCCTTTCACGTCAGGAGGACGTCCCAAGGCGCTGCAAACTAGTTCCTACTTACTGCTAGGTCAACAGAGGCGTGTGGAGTAAGGAAACTCGTCCCAACCTTTCGCCCCGCCCGGGAATCGAACCCGGGTCCTCTCGCTTGCGAGGCGAATGCGCTAACCACGACACTACTGTTAGGGTGGGTTGCGAAACCGTGGAGGGGCTTTGAAGGTGGGGACGAGGGAATGAGGGCGCCAATAGTTCACGAACAAATAAACCCTTTTCTTAGGTGATTTTGCAGAGTTGTAGAAGAGTGGGGGGCGCGGGGTGGGGTGGGTGGTGGGGGGTGTAATCCAGGGGTCTCCTCAGCCAAGAGGGTCCACCCTGCAGTTCCACTGATCTCCGGGTAGGTGGCAGCATCTCATTGGACCTTCAGAGATCTGAACCATAGAACCAGAGAGATGGGGGACGTGTGTGACCGGCTTAGTGGCGTGACTTTATTAACACTAGTAATAACGCCTTATTAAGTCAACGGGACTTCCTCAAAGTGCTTCACAGGCCTTACTGTAAAGCGCAGTGACCGTGTATGGCTTACACGAACGCGGCAGGCAATTTGCGCACCGCAAAGTCACCGTGAATAGCTCTGAAGCGAACGATTAATTTTGTCCGGGGGATTGTCAGCCAGGACACCGGGAGAGAGAGAAACTCCCTCGTCTTTTTGAATAACGTCCCGGGATCTTCAGCGAAGCGCTCCGGGATGCTGCCCCGTGTGAAGGACGCTATATAAATGCAAGTTGTCGTTGTTATCCACCAACAGGTACAGAAGGGACCTCGGTTTAATGTCTCACCGGAAGGTCCCACAAGTACACAGTGGCTTTGCTTCACACTAAAATCCTGAGACGTCTTTCCAATGTGATTAGGTGCAGTAAAATTCCACAGTAGTTATTCCCCACGGGCCCGTGTGTCATGACTCGGAGTG